AATACGTTTATGGAGGGTTCTCCTCATCAATTAAGAATCTTTAGAATTTTACCACGGGTTAATTTATTTTAAGATTTATATATCTCTGATACTATCAAATTATATTTTATGTGATGATATTGTGTGTCCTATTTAAATAAATCAGAATAGACAAATTTGGAATCGATTTGTTGTCTTATATTTTTCATCCATTAGCTCAGCACCCAATAACACTTGCAAATGATAGAGGGGTGTATATACTATGGTCTGTTACGCAGATTTAGTTCGCTATTAACCTATTGTTTGATAAGATTATTGCACTGTTGAGGGATGAATTAAAATATAAGTTATTATGTAGTTAAAAATGATACACAAAGTTTTACCTGCGTGACGGCCACACGACGATATTAAACCTTGCATATGCACTGATAATTTATATTATCTTAATGGTGAATTTTGCTTCGAAGCTATATTTCTGAAATTTAACATATTATTTTTTATTTTTAGTTTAATAATGCTTTCGAAGGGGTTTATGGGCTTTACGATATGGGAGCGATTAAAAGTGATAAAGCGCAACTACTTAGCTCAGAACAACTCGAAAAAAATATAACTGAGCTAAAAAGAAAACTCGGAAAAGACACTTTGCCTCTTTATCAATGTTTATATTCTGATATAAATAGAATCCTCGTTCGAGAATTAACTCGGAAAGATCCTTTAGCCAGTCAAGTTATTAGAGATAATTCTGGTCTTATTCGGGGAATACCAGTAAATTTAAAAAAGCATTTATATTCTAGGTTAAATTAGTTATAATTAATTGTATTCATGTACTAATACAAGATATTTATTTAATGAAATATTAGAAAACGATAAGATTAATGAAACTCGCTCCTATATCAGAAGTTGAAAATATATGTAGAGGTTTCGTATCGAATTTTTATCTGAAAATTCATCTAGGTTACCATATGGATTGTTATATGCAATGGACTGGAAAGAAGATGTGAATAGGACTTGAAGAAGTTACATTAAAATTTTTAGGAACTTTAAAACAAGTTTGGCAGAATCCGGCTTTCCGTCCAGAATTTCTTGCTACAGTACTTATGTAAATAATGTAATTGTTCCACTAATTAATGCTTGTTTATTTAATAATCCCTTTGGAGGGACCGCATTTATTACTACGTAAGTTTAATCCAAAAGACATCTTAGGATAGATAATTTCATTACTCGGATGTATAATATTCAGCTATATATATTTTTATATTTTTAGTTTTGAACGGCAGAGTTTAGCAAGTGCCGATAGAAGAGGGAATGGAAAAGTAGGAAGGCGGCCTGATATTATGTTTGTAAGTAAAGAAGATGATAAATTTTATGAATTAATGTATACAGAATCTTCCACGGTTATTTGTACTAAACAAAAAGAAGAGGAAGATGATATAAAATTATGGGGTGAATGTAGATTAGAAAATGATAATTTGGCATTATCGGTATTCAAGTAGCAGGCAGTAAGTTGTGTTTGAATACTCTTATTAGAGATGAGCTTGAAGTTCATCGTTATTATAAAATACAAGCAGCTGAAATACCTATTAGTCTCCTTCTATTTTATCTAATTTTATACGCACATTATTAATTTTCCGAAATATATTAATATTAATAGTTAATATGTCTTTATTACGCAGTGCGCTTCACTCAATGTAAGTTAGAATTAGTTCCATTAGAAGGTTTTATGTTTTTTATTCCTTGATGAAGTTCTTTATAAATTTGAATAAAAATATTAAAAACCTTAATTTTTTACCTTTTTCTTTAGGTATTTTTTTTTTCAATGAATAAAATGTTAGAGTTTATGTATACATATATTTATTTAAAAATTGGAATTCAAAACTCATCAACATCAAAATCACTGTCACCATAATCATAATTAGATTCCAATTCTCCAATGAATACTCTTTAATGATCTGCAAAAAGGTAATTCTCAATAATTTATCAGTCATTTCTTGACTATCTTTATCTTTAATCTCGTCCTCATTTTCTTCATCATCATCACCAATTCAATTTCTAAATTGATTCAATGTTTGATGAGAACAACATCGTCAATGCAAACATCATAGTTGGAGAATAAGTAACGTAGTACATGCAATTTAGCAGCAAACAATTTCATTACAATCAAATCATAGTAATAGATTATCAATCAATAGTTAAGAAATGACAACCATTAATTATAATATCATATAATATTTCTTTTTCAAGTAAAAAAAAAAAAAGAAATCGAATAAGCCAATGTAATGTGTTACAAGTTTATCAAATTAAAATTTGACCTTTTGAATTTGTGTATGTTACGCTATCAATGCTACCGTTACTGTCCCAATACTATCAACATCAATAATGAAATGAGCATCAACAACCAATAGTATAGTAATTTATAATCAGGACTATTAAAAAAGTTAATTAATTCACATGCATATTTGATTGTCATATTTGCATTTTCTTTTGGTAATAACTGAACCGTCTCTGTTGCTACTTATTTTACTTTGATTACTCATTCAGATATCATAAAACTATCAGAAGCATCAATTTTTCCTTCTTATCATTCTTCTGATTTATGATTTATTCAAATATTAAAAAGTTAAATTTCCATATTATATTGACATCTCCCTCTACTTCCACTACAACTACCAGTATTACAACCCATTGTTTAACTGCCTCACCAAATACCAAAATCATACAGATCATTGCTTAATAAAAGGCAGTTTTAAACTGATCAGTTTTGGAAGTTCAAGTAACTTCTCCAAGCTGGTTGCATAAAGGTGTTGAGAGGTATAAGTCGGCCTCAGTGGCAACAGAAGGTATTAGTATGTACAAGATCTAATTTCAGCAATAATTAGAAAATAAGCAGTACGTCAGATCACAATTAACTCTCAACCTATTTCGCGAAAGACAACTTTCGATGACAAAATTTTTCTATATGCTCAAAAAGTCAACTGAAACAAAAAATAAAACTTGAATAACTAAATTGGAATTAAATCAAAATAAGCCAAGCATTTTTGATTACTAATG